AGAACAGTGCGAAGAGAGACAGGGGGACATTGCTTTCAAGCATCACACTGTCGGTGTTAGGGCTTGGCCACTAAGGCAATGACAAAGCCGAACTGCAACGCCGTTTAGCAAAACCAAAAAGAATAGGGATTGTTGGTGTTAGCCTGTTTTTCAGACGAAAAAAGGTGAAAATACTAAATATAGGCTGCATCTCACGCTAGCTCGAAAGACTGCCTCCTTCGTGACCTCCAGTCTGTAGGCAAATTTCAGAAGCTTGGATGTGTCCGTATGCGGTGAAATCCATTTTTTGCTCTTGCTAACTTCATACTACCAGGCAAGCTACAACGGAACACGCGATTTAGCAGCTACCTCCAGAATTGCACAACTCCTGGCCAATAGGCCGACCTAGGGTTGTCTACATACGATGGCGGACATCTCCATAATTGTTTCATAAATCAAAGGCGCCATGCGATAATTGTTAGTCCGAGCTTTCGAGTGGAAATGCATTCACTCATAAAAACTGTTTACGATATTTGTCACCATCTGATTCCACGAAGTAGGAGGAACTCTCGACCGACTTACGTTGTCATTAATGAGGCGGTTTATATGTAAGAGATGCTTTATATGAAAACGCTTCCTAAGATACTTGAATTGCAAGTATGGTGCTTGGTGCAGGTCCTCACAGGGGACCGTTTTATTGTTGGACGGTGCCAGATGATGACTGCAACAGCAAAGGCTTTACAAATACTAAGTGTAGGAGCATATGTATTTCCCGCAATAGAGGCTTTATTCGCCTTTTAGACCATTGGGTCCAGTTCATTTGGTCCTAGGGAGGAAGGTACCTATTCAGATATATATAGCACTTCCAGTCTGGCTAGATTGGCATGCAATGCTCCACACAGTGTTAAATTTCAAGGCGTTTATCATTGTTAGTTAGCGTTTTTCGCCTGCAGCTAAAAAGAAAACGCGACAATAGCAACCATTTCGAAATCGAAAGTTAATTTCAGTCAACCTATCAAAGAGGCGGTTGTGCATCATGAAACCGTCGCGCTGTTTTAGCGACATCGAAGAGAAAAATGAGGTTAAATGTCGTCGCCTCACTCATGCGCGTCCTTCAGACAGCCTTGAGCTGGCCTACCCAAAACGGTCTTACCGCATACATCTCACCATCGGTCAGAATATCAAATGTGCCGCCGAAAAGCATTAAAAACAGTCATTCAGCCAAAGTTTGTCCGCTAATTGGACTACTTATGCTCAAGACATCTTTGATAAGATTGTCATTGTGGTCCCATTTTTACCAATTGCTTGAGAGAAATCGGCAGAGATTACAACACCTCATTGTCTTCACTCAAAATTAAATCTCACCAACCGGCGTAATAAATGCCAGAAGTGGATGTTCGTTTTCTAGACCATAAGCTCACTAAACTCACTTCCAGGCTCCAACATTCCGTAAAGCCGCCTGTCCTCATTATTGTTTGCAATTGGCATTTTACTGCAGTCAGGGTAATCCATGTCCAAATTCAGTCGGTAAATTAATCCCGTGGTGTTGCCGAACAATGAGGTAAGAGGATCCTGCTGACTGAATGTGTCGGCCGGATCGAGATCCAAGAAGTCATAGGTATTTTGAGCTTTTGGTGCACCTACGAGACAAAACGCTTGAGACTGGGCTACATAACCGGCCACTGAATAACCAAAGAATGTTCCTCTCTTCTGGGTTGTGTAAATTCGAGCTGCGAGGGAAGGGAAAAGCCAATCACTATTATGTTTGAGTCCCAAGTCTACCGCCAGAGTGGTGAGCGGTAGGAGGCATATGAGAAGGAAGAAGGGGAGATGATTATGAAGGGGTAGAGCGAAATGAAATTGCAGCATGATGGTGACAAGTTATAGAGCTGGTCTCATAGCTCTAGGGGGAAGGAAGGGAGACCGCACAACCACAAATGCACACATGCACACGTGGGGAATGATAGCGCTGCCCTGTGTGGTGCGAGCGAGCACACGTTCCTTCTCCTAAGGCATTGACCTACCAGTCGCGTGATTGGTCAGCACGTCGGTCTGCGAGCTATGATTGGTTTGTCGGCCTGCGTCATCGTTTTGGTTGTGCTAGCTTGGGTGATCAATTCGAGAGGCAAATGCGCACATATCTGTGAAACTAACGCGTCCGACGACCGTGCGTCTGTGCGCCCACAAGTTTGTGTCGAAGACTAGGAAGAAATAAACCACAGCTATCCACCTGTGTGTGGGTGGAGTGGGAGGGAGAAAATTAATTGCTTATTTGGGTACACTTCTTTGGGGGAAAGAGCTAGGAGTGGAAATGGAGTTTTACGGTAATTTGACAGCTCTACGACCTGACGTTTAACCATCAAAATACCTGGTGCTCTTAAGCATTCACAAAAAGATGCTTTCAAGTTGGTGTAAGGGAAATGTTAAAGGAGTTTGGTCTTGCGAATTGGAAAAGGCTTCCATGGAGTAGTATGCATTTCTGCAGGCAAGCATCAAAATTTTCCAACGTTGAAGACCACGAGGATTGCCAGCTCACGATCCATTAACACATAAATTGGATCGCACGCATAAAATGCTTTATGAACATTTTTAGATACTAATTTTGCCTTTGGAGCAACTACGAAATGACAAGTCGCGAAATTAATGCTTTGACAGGTGCTTTTTGTAGAAAGCAAAGAATTGGGCATACCTTTAATGAAAACACTTCTTTACAAGGGGGATGTCCTGAGTCAACAAAACACCATAACAGTTGGGAAATGTTCAAGAACTGAAATTCTGCATTGGATGACTTCGCCTATCACACCCGCGAAATAAAGTCTACTTCCCAAATCACCTTTAGATGAAGCAAAATAAGTCGATTGAAGAGGCAACTTTTACAACTTTGCCTGTGAGGTAC